AGAAGTTGATATGAACTAAGCAGTTATCAGGTTTCTCAGCAGGATGGTTCTTAGCAAAGTCTTGCCAGTCATGCAGCTGCTATTCTACAGGAGCAAAAACTGAGGATTTGGTCATGAGTGTACAGGGAGGTTTTGGCAGTAATGTTTTTGAGTTTAGGTGAATTGCATTTGAGAATTGTGATTAGATCTGATGTATCTGATAACCTTGTTTCCTGTCTGTCTGTCATACATGAAAATTAGTCTCTGGTGTTTATATCTTCTCTTTACCAGAGAAATGGTTTGCAGTGTGCTCTTTTATGGCTGTGTTTCTATCCCTTATTAAATACATCTGTGCAGGACTTTCAGACTTGAAGTAAGATTTGTCCTGCCTCTATTTTACAGTTGCCTTTCATTGGATCAAGATGGATGACTTTTAAGAACTCACTTATAGTCTGTCCTACTCAGACTGCCAGATCAAAGTCCATATATTTCTGTCTCTGAGTTTTCCCACAAAATCCTAGGCTCTGTGAGCTCTTCTGTAAGCCTTCACCCAGTGAAGGAGGTATGTGGATCAAGAGGCTTTGTTCCTGGAATCCTTGTCACTGTTCCTCTTCTCTCCTCCTCCCTTCATGAATGCTGTGCCTCTCCACTGGTAATTTATCCATTGGTGCTTTTCCCTTGAGGAATCCCAAAGGCCACACCAGAGCTGAAGGATGAGCAAAAAGGAATGGGACTGGGCTGAGGGCTGCAGCCTCTGGGTCTCCCTGTTTCTTCACTCTCTTCCAAACCTCACTGCTACTGTAAAGGGCTGGGATGGGAGCTGGAAGCTGAGGAGCTCTTTAAAAACTAAACTGCCAGCATTGTTCCTCCTCCTGCAGCCTGTATTGGTAGCCAGTGTTTTTCCTGGTGAAACTGCTCTGTGGTTTGCCAGGTAAAAATGGGGGCAGCCAGCTGGGAATGGCCACAAATGTTGAGGAGAAGAGTGAGCAGAGCCCCAGTTGCAGTTTGGAGCATAACGTAGCTGTGATTCTCTGCTGAAGGGAAGAGCTGGCTGACAGCATGGTCCAAGCTGGCAGCTTTGTGGTGTTTTTGGTCTTTTTGTCTATGATGGTGCTTGCTACTGTGCCTCATTTGCTGTTTACATTAAATGCTACTGTAATAACTTGCTAATTGTTGCCACCCATGCTTGAAGCATGTATATGGGAACAGGCTGCCTGTTCTGATAGGCAGTGAGACCTCGAGGCTGGATGCTCCACAGAGAAGTCAGAGGAGGACAGAAGCCTGTAGGATAGGTCAGGGAAGAAGCTGGAATGTGGAATGTGGAGGGAGTAGTGACAGCCTTTCATCTGGAAGCATGAGAGAGAATGGAGAGCAGGAGGGCTTTGCCTGAAGCTGGAGAAAACTTCTTCTGCACTAGGGAAGAGGAGGCAAAAGGTCTTTGTATAATTTAATCACTTATAGTGGATGATTTTTTACTGTAGCTTGTCTTTTTGGTTAGCAGCAAACATACATCTTTGGGATCTTTAGTCAGCAATACTTTTGATAATAAAAAATATTAACTGGAGAACTGAGTAAAAATAAAATAAAATTTCACTTAATAAATATGCCCTGGAAAGCTAAAAAGCATACTTAGAAAACAGATAATAAGGAAAATTCAGCTCCTAGGAGCAAGGAAATATAAAAATTAAACACATTTAGAACTGAAAGTTGCCATATTGTAGGAACGGAGGAACACAGTTTGGAATTAGGTCAGAGAGAGAAAATTAGCCAAATATGCAGAATAATTTAGACTTCAATCTTTTTTTTTTTTTTTTAATCTCAAGAAGGCAGTCAGCATATATTTTGCTAGGGAAAGCAAGAAATGCTGTGAAACTAAAGGATAGGATTTCAGAAAATTAAGGCTATTTTATCACTTGTTGACAGCTGAAGGAAAGCACCACTCACAGCAACTTCTGACTTTGCTCTGTGTCAGGGTATCAGTGTTAGCAAGATTCATTTCAGCATAACTGAACTTTCTACCAGTCAGGTTAATGCTAACCTGTACTTGTGCCATCAGAAAGCAGGTCCAGCAGGTGAGACCTCTCCTCAGTCTAAAACAAAATTAAAATAAAGGACTTGAGTACCAAGAGCAGGACTTTGACAGCATTCAGGAGTGGCTTAGTTTAAAACCATGATCCAATTCTCTCAGCTGCTGCCTGAAGCACCTGAGCCCCCCTGTTTGAGCTGCTGGTTTGCCAAGAGACCCCGCGCCCCTGAGCCTCCCGAGCACCAGCCCTGCAGCACCTCCCCTGCCTCGGGGTCCTGCTCGGAGCCCGGGCTGGATGTGCTGGGCAAGGTGTAAGTGTCACAAGAAAGGACCTTGGCTTCAAATACAGCATTTAATTGGGCAAGGTGACGCGTTCCCTGTTTCATTATCAGTGTCAGAGATGTGACCAGCCTTAATCCTGAAAGTGTTTTTTTAAAACATTCCGTTAACATAAGCTATAGAGAGATGTCATCTTGTCAATGTTTTGGACCAAGTGGAGCATTCTGTAGACTCTACAGAAGGGGAAAACTACAAATCACAGAATGAATTGCCACATCAGTGATGTAAACACCTGTAGTTGCATTGCATTTGTATGCTTTTTTGTTCTGACTAGTTTTTTATGCTTCCTTGCAATCGGCTCTGTTTTTCTAAAATTTTTAGCAGCATTTGATTTGTCCTCATGTGGATAGATCCATGTGCTTGCCAAAGCCTGCTGTCATTCTTCATACCATGCACTGTTTGGTGGTTACACCAAGCCCATTTATTTTGTTGGCCCTGGCTTCTGCTCTTCAATTGACTTTGACTTCAGACTTAAACTCTACATATCTCCTTTTAGAAATACAAATTGCGTTGTTTTAGGTGTCTAATATGCATAACAGCCGTAATAGGTTTCCTTGCCAAAATAATTTGCATCTAAGAAGTACTAGGTGGTTTTCTTAGTCTATTTGATGCTAGAACAGGTAAACACTTACTATACTTTTCTCAGTTTACTATCAGCAAACCAGTCAAAACCTTGATACCTTGATCTGTTTTTTTGTTAACTGTGAGATCAGCAACCCAATCCATTCACTACTTCTTTGGAAAGGAAGTGGGGAAAAAGCATGGAATGTGTGTTCTCAACCCCTCTTATTCAAAACAAAACAAAAAAAGGCATAAGGTCTCAGCACAATGACAGTAGGCAATTCTAATTTCCTCTACTTTTTGGAATTATGGAACATAGGGTAGAAGAAGCAGTAACTGGAAACCAGTAAACAAACATGGAGAAAAGGCAGAAGAAAGGAAAGCAGAGAAGGGACCACTCAGAAATAGTCTAAGGCAAGATGAAAGAACTGACATGTGTGGTGGTGAGTGGCAAACATCTTTTAAGTGGGAAGCATTCAGTGGCTGCTTGGGACATGTAAGGGCTAGAGAGCAGCACAGTGCTCAAGGAAAGGCTGCAGGCAACTTTGGTTGCTCTGTGTTTGGGAAGATGCAGCCACTCCCACTCACTGTCTCCACTGCTGTACCTGTGGGACACCTGTTTAGAGCTGAGGTGCAGCGGCAAAGAGCAGGTTACCCACAGCTGCAGTGGATGCAGTGGAACAAAGAAAGTGCTATTAAGAGAGAAGTGCTCTGTAGTACTGAGAGCTCAGGCAAAAGAGTTGAAGGATGTATTTTAAAAGGCTACTTATCTTTCCACCTAAACCAAACACAGATTGTTTTAATGAGCCTCTTCTGAAAATGGTCTTCAAACAAAAAATATTAAACCAAAGAAAATATTATACTTCAGAAAACTCTTCTTAACCAAGCTGTCACAATTACTGCCTCTCATTTATCTCCTATTCAGCAGTTCTTGATTCTGTTCCCACATTCACAATATTTAAGATGACAGACATGAAAGCTGTGGGCTCTTGCATTCAACCTAAGGTGTGACAGCCAGAGGAATCTGCAGACGGTGGTTCAGATCCTACTTGAGTCAAATTTTCCTTCAGTGGTTCCAAGCCAGGGCCTTCAAATATATAGGAAGTCAGGTGAATGTAATTAGACCCAACAAATACATCTGAGTATATAAATCAGTATATATCAAAGAAATAAATCAGCATAAAGTTCTTGATTTTATCCCATAGTAAAGAATTACTAAAAAAGGAAATAATTATGGTAAACTTTATGTTAAAAACAGTCCAAACTCATTATAGGTGCTGATTAGACAACTGGACTTATACTTTCAGCAATTCTTTGGAAGAAACATAAAATTTTTGCATGAATAGCAGGACTGATCCATCTCCAATTGCAAGAGGACAGTTTAATTTGGGACGTGAGAGGCAGGATGTTCCTATTGCTTGGTATGTTTGGATTTCTCTTCCAGAAGCCAAACTAGGTGTTTCCTTAGATTCTATTGCTGTTTGTGGGATACCTTCAAGACCCTACAAAGTGATTTTGCCCTTAGCAGCACATATTTCGCTTAGTTTGGGCACTGATTTCTTGTGAGAGCTCATTGAAAAAGAGAAAGGAACCAAAACCTCAAATGTTTTTTGTTTTTTAATGATATCCCCCGAAGTATTGTCGTGTTTGTTCCAGTGATGAGAAGTTCTGAATGACTCACACTGTTTGTAAAGGAAAGCAGGTTGTATCCACTCAGCTACTAAGTGGCACCCACATTATGGGTGTGTTAAACCAGAGGATTAAGGCCAGTTGTGCTTTATCAGTTTTCTAGGATGAAGGGACAATAGCCACTGTCCCATTGTGTGTGGTGCTGCAGAGCTCATAAAGCTGGTGCTGCCTTCAGCTGCTCTCAGTGGGGCTGAGAAACAAGACGAGGCCATAAAAATAAAATGTAAATTATTGCAACAAGTGTTGTATTGGTGAGTTCTGAAAAAGGGCTGTAGTAGAGCGGTATTTTAGTTTCAGACCTCTGCAGGATTGTAAACATTTAGGGCAAAGACATGTTTATGTAATACCCTCCATTATTCCTTCAATAGCTTTGGCTCTTACTACTCTGCCTCCTTCCCACAGAAGCCTCTGTCCCAACTCCCTCCTCCCAGCCACCAAAGAAGTTTATTTTTCCAATGTAGTGGCTGAGAGGGCCAACTTTAACCACAGATTTGCTGTTACTGTGGTCATTTGTAATGACCAAAGCCAATCCCAAGCATGCTGTTGCGAAAATTAATTTTCTATTAACTTAATTGTAAATTCTTGAGACTGAGGAGGTGGGGGGTGGATCTTTCCATGCAATGGAGCTGGAAGTGGTACAGCCATAACACCATGATCATGATTTTTTCAACCATCAGTTGCACCCAGAATATGTGTCACACTGTATTATTTTGGAATCCAGTAAATATCCTTCTAAAGGAACTCCAGGCATGAACACAGACACACACTGCATGAACTAAAAATGGTTTCTTGTATTTTTGTGAGATATTGGTGCTGCTGGGTAGTACTTTACACATTTCTGGTCTGTTTTTCCTTTTCTTGCTACTATGTACCCTGATGTTGTGATTTCAGGTGCAAAATAGCTTGGTTTTTTTTTTTTTTTTTTCTTAGCAGTTTATGGTAATTAGCTTAATTTCTGCTTTTCAGTTCAATTGTAGGTATACAGAATAAAGTAATGGAGAAGCTGCATTACTGATTTGTGAAGCAAGCTAAGGCATTTTAAATGTAAAATTCCATATTAGAATACACTCAAGCCCAAAATGATAACTTGAAAATGTAACAAACTAACTAAATGCATTAGAACCATTTCCCTTTTTTAAAAAAAATGCAGTTTTAGCTTTGTAGCTTGGTTTGTTACCGTTTGTAGTAGAGTAATAGCTTTTCTCATGCTGAACACTGCAATTGGTGACAGCCCAGCACAGCAGTGGAAATGCAGCAATGGAGATGGTCCCGGTCTTCTGCTGCCCTTACAAATTCTTGTCTCCTCATCTCACATGGAAAATAGCTTCATAGTGGCAGCTATTTCTGCAAGGGACAGCTAATGAAGGCACGGGGAAATTCTGTAGAAAAATAATGTTCTTTGCAGTCTTTCCTCTGGAAACTCATTCCAGCAGTGCTCTGTGCAACACCAGAGTGCATCCTCTCCTCTCCTCTTCTCTCCAGCCCCCTGTCAGGTCACCTTATAAAAATATTTTACTGTAGTTCTTTAAGCTTAAAATGCAGTTGTCTGTTCAGATTTGTTATTTCATTATGGAGTGTGTCAGATAATCCCTCTTGCTTTAACAAGAAAAAAAAAAAAAAAGAAAAAAAAAAAAAGTATTTTAAACTAGTCCAAAGGTATGGTCATATATTATATGGATCATGGATTTAAGTGTACTCCATTTTGGTTTCCACCATGAACATCTAATTCCTGTAACAGTGTTGTATGTTTATTTAAAGTATATATATATATATAAATTAAATGTCAGATTTTTGCATTAATTAAGATTTTTTAAATTTGAATATGAACTTTGAGTACTTTATTTAAAAAAATATTAAAAATACTTTTCCTGAAGTGTTAAGTTTCAGAATTCAAGACTATATTTGTCAAATTTAAGTTTAAAATATGTAGCTATCATTGTTTTCTGATATTGAATGTAAATATTTGTAAAAAGAAATTCTTTTGTATATTTTTGTGAAAATGTAGTTCCCCAAAATATATAAAAAAGATTTAATAAAAAAGTGCATTTATGTTACTGTTCAACACTTTGCCAATTTTAATATATTTACCCGTATTTATGGGCATGTATGTGCATTATTTTTTTGTCATATAAGTCACAGGAACTTTCTTGAAGGAGAAAACCACGGTGTGCTCAGAAGGAAAAAATAATTCCTTAGAAGTTCAGCGGTACTTTCTTTCTTCTGGATATAAATGGAAACATCTCAGAGTATCTATTTTCAAGTGAAGTGGCAATTCATAGGCTTTTTAAGTGGAGAGCATTATCAGTAATTCTTTAATTGTTTTGGCTTATGAAGCTTCTTGTTTCTCTTGTCTTTTTGTCCCCATTTTAGAAAGTAGGACTGTGGCAACCACTGCACTGGAACAAAACCCGAAAGACAAAGCATATGCTTTGTGCCTGTGCTGGGGTGGAGAGCTTAGTCCCTGGGTGCTGGGACAGCAGTGCAGCCAAGGGCACTGTACCAAACACTTGGACAAAAAGTAGTTCCAGTATGATCCCAACACAGGAATAAGCTTTCTCAGTGCTTCTGCTAACATACTTTATTCTTCAACACACCAACCCTTAAACAAGGAACATTACCCAAACAGAACACAAAGTGTGCTTTGAAGGTTTTTAATGGATTTTAAAGTAAAACTTTTCTTACACAGATGTTTTTTTTCTTACAGTGTAAAAAAAATGTAAAATTGTCCAAACTTACAAACTTGGAAAATTAGAGACATTTCAAGTATGCAATTAACCTCCTTTTGTGAAAACAATGTATATTCAAAGTCCAAAATGTATGAGTCTTTCCTAGCATCCTGTGTCCTGGTGGTCAATCTTCCTGTCCTCTACTGTCCAGAATAGACAAAGCTCAGTCTAGGTTGTATCATACTCATTCACTGAGAAGGAAGAAAAAAAACACTTCCATAAGGAACAATTCTACCCCTCTGTAAAGATGCTTTGAGAACTGCTCTGTGCCCTACCCCTGTAATGGTTAAAACCTTTCCAGAGGGGATTGGATCCCTAAATCACATGAGCCTTAAGGCAGGCCCATAGCTGCAGCTTTGGGAAGTCTGCTACTGGTTTATGAAATCACGGGCAGATAACAGGAAGGAACTGCTCTGCCAGAAACAATCAAAGAAAACAGCTGAACCGATTGTGGAAAAGACAGCTTAGACACAAGATAAAATTATAGTAAAAGGACTTTCAGTTTTATTCAAATACAACTCAGAAAACACCACCTGTCCAGGTCAGGATTCCAGTGACTGCTCTATATAAGCTGCAGGGCAGTTGTTTATCAGGCTTGCATCACATTAGTTAATGTTTATACAACTACTACCAAACAACAACTCAGAGTTATCTTTAAAAGAAAGCTGCCCATAAGGGGAATTTTTCTTCACACATCTTTGTTGTTCCTCACACACACATTACTTCTGCAAGTAAAACTACATTAGTAATGTCACAAGATACCTTTTATATTTCTTGGTTAGGTTCAGAGTATTTCTCACCTGGCTTGAGTTCGAGTCCATTTCAAGGCATGGCGTGGAGGTACAGCAACAGTGGGATGGTAGAAAGTGCAGTCTGGTCTAGTACACTGTGTATTAAACCTACAATGCTAAATAAAACCAGAAGTATTTCAGAAGAGGCTCCCCAGTGCTGGCTGCCTGAACTCCTGAACATGCTGAGCTGCACTGTGATGCTGGTATTGCTGTGTGACACATCTCACCTGCAACTGAGCCAACACCCGCCTCCACCAGTGCAACCAGCTCAACCCAGCAACAAAAAATCCTTTTTAAAAAGTACCATGAATTTCATACTCCAAAACTGCCACTGCACTGACTGGTGGAAAATTCCTTTGCTTGCAAGAGTTTACAGAGTTCAGCTTGAATTGATCTGTGTACAAGCTGGGAGCATGACACAGCATTACCTGAGTGAGGAGAAAAGCCAGAGGATCTGGCTAATAATATCTGAGCATGGGTATTTTGGCATTATAAGGGCTGGAAAAAGCACTACACTTCCTGGCATTAGATGCAGGGACACAATTCTATAGAAATACCCAAGTAATAGACTCCTGTAGTATAGAGATTACATTAATAGATTTTAGGGTAACTGGGCAATATCTAAAGTTTTTGTATGTTGCACCATATCTGAAATAAGAGCCAAGAGTCTTGAGACATATTCCTTCCCAAAAAGCTCCTCCCTGCCCCCAGCATGCTGGCTGGGTATATTTTGAAGCTCTCTAGCAGCATTTGGTAGAAAGATTACTTAAAATTATAATTTTTCAAATTTCTTAAGTCATTACTTCTGTGTATTCTGCTTATAAGGCATAGTTAAAATATGAACAGTAAAAGCAAAAAGTGTTAAATCTTAGTAATATTTCCTGTCCCAAAGTAGCCTGTTTCAAGTCTTTTTCTAGAAAGGAAGGAAGATAGGAGATATAGCTTACTTTTGGGTGGTAAAATGGACACTCCATTTTCTTACAAGCTGGAAAAAACTTGCACAGCAGACTACTGGAAGGTATGGATAGTGTGGGCAGGGGTGCTAATAATAGAAACAAAAAGAATAGGAAGTGAGTCTAGATCAGAATAAATTGCCTTTTTAAGACATCCCCACACAACCTTAAATATATCAACCTTTCTGCTAGAAATTCCATTTTATAATACACCAAAATTCAGCATGAAATATAGACAGCATTTCCCAATGCAGTTAGTAGATCCTGGAGTAAAACAAGACTATCAGGTAATCATTTAATTTGGTTCTTCAGCATTTCAGGACAGAAGTACCATGGTCAAGGCAAAACGTCCAACAAATTACAGAGATTCTGGTAGGCAGAGAATCTCAAATGTAAAATTTAGACAGCAGCAAGCCTGTTAAGAGTTTCAACTGACCGGACTGAGAAGTGCAGACACTGCACTTTCCAGGAATACAGAGGAGCTGCTGGAAATGATACAGGAGACAAGCATATTGTACTTGGTGTCTGGCAAGGTAACAAAACTGAACTGAACTGTCACTAGGGGCTAAAAATTATTTTCAAAAGATCATGCAGTAAAGGCCCTGGACCTCAGCATGGTTCAAAGGCTCAGCAACACCAACACATATCAAACACAGCTACTGCCTTCACTGAGTAACCTCAACCTGCGAGTCACCTCATAACAACACCAGCTTCACTCCTACACTAGCGTTAAAGACAAAAATGTTCAAAGGCAGGAGCCTCTGTTTTCAGTGTGTGCCACAAGCCCTTGGTACAACATGTGTCCAATTTAAGAGAAAAAATCTGAGCAAAACTGCAGTGCTGGCTAATCCCTTCAGAGAAGGGACAGAGAAACAGACAACTTGTGCAAGTCACCTCTTTGGCCTTGCACAGCCTTCATATGGACTCTTGCATAAGAGCACTGGAGGATTTTCCTGGTATTAGTTTTTGCAGTAACACTGGATTATTATTCTTCATCTTGCATTAAGAGTTGTAAGAAAATTAAGTGAACTCAAGCAAAAAGATATTCATCACTATCAGTTTCTGTTTCCAAAAATACTGTTGTCCCTTGAGCACCTTCATTTAAAGCCCAGAAAACAAGAAGATGCGCTCACCTGGTTTAGGAGATGGATGCGGGATTCGTCGACTGGCATGAGTGTAAGGACAGTCTGGCTTAGTGCACTTTGCATCGTATTTACAGTTTGGATGGATGAACAGACATTTATCAGCAAACTTGCAGTTAGGAAAAACTCTGAGGGAAAAGAAATTGAGTCAAAAGCTCATACTTGGAGCAAAATCCCCAAATATCTGTTGCACACAAAAACGAGAGTATCACAGAAAGCCAGAGGTGCAGCAGGGCTGGGGCAGATCCTGGTTCCCTCCCAAGTGGGGCACGCAGTGTAGTGCACGAGCTGTGCACCTACACACCTGCTCTCAGCTGCCCTTCCTACAGAACCCCTCCATGCAGTGAACAACTGAACCACCTCACTCTCAGGGCAGTTTGGTCCCAAATTCCTTGGTGCAAGCTAGGACATGTCCCTAACTGTGCAGAATAGAGTGGCAATGTGAAATCAAACCTTCCCCAGAGAGGGGTGCAGTGTTCCCGAAGTTTTCTCTGAAGAGTTTTATTGTGAATTTAGCTACACTAGATTTTATAACATAATTCAAATGTCCAAGTAACTGAAGTTACCCAATCTGCTAATAGTTACATCAAAACAGTCAGTTTTCCTGGACTATTCTGCTTATGAAAGAGAAGTCAAAGGTACAGTGCATGTCCAAGAGTTCACCTTCTCTTTCAAATTTAAAACCCACAATCACTGCATTACTATGCAACGATAATCTAACCTTCAACAGCACTGTAATAGCTGGTAGAAGACAGCCTATTTTTTTTAAGATGGTAATTCCTGCATCTTCGAGCAGTTCAGGAACACCAGCCTGTACTCTAAACTACAACTTTCTTCTGCAAAGGTGTAGCAGCCATCCCTGCGTTCTGACACTTGGGAGGGGGTGGAAAACAGAAGGAATAACATTGTGATAATCTAGCTCTGATCCTGCCCTGACAGGTTTGTGCTGCCTTGGAATATTTACTGACGCTGAGCAGAAGTTTGCAGCACTGGAATGAAAATCCAAATAGCATGTCAAGTGAATGAGCTCTGTACTACTCACTTGCAAGGTAGTGTGGGATGATGGTACACACATTCATCTCCATTTTTACAGGCAGGCCAGTACTTGCAGCGCTCCAGCACCTTCTCCTGTTTTTGTAGCATACTTAAGTCTTCTATTTCCACTGGATGGTAAGAAAGAAGGAAAAAAAACAACCCCAAGCTGGGATCTTTATGATGCTATATGCAACTTGGTGTAAACAATCAGCATAATCAAAATTCACTGTACTTCTATTCTCTCAGTAAAAGTTTATGTACATCATATTTTCTGAAGAAAATTTCCAAAACCATAAAGTAGAAAGTCATAATACTGAACTGACAGCTGCCTTTTGGCAGTTTGATCATAAAAGATAAATCTACACTGTTTACAAGCCAAATAAATCAGTTTTCTTTTTCAATCTGAATTGATTTAAAGACTTGGAGAGACAAGACAATGACTCCAACTGATCCTGACTTATGACTCTTCTGCTGAGCCATGAGTTAATTACCACGATGTCTCCTTTCTCCAAGATATTTTTTGCTCTAGAAAATTATTTCAAGAGATGAAAGTTAAAAATCAATTTTTATGATGATCAGATTTATTATTATGGGAGCATATCCTGAAAAAGAACCACTTGTATGTAATTTTTTTCAGACACTTCTGCTACCTGAACTCAGACTCTAATCCAAAAAGTATTTTAAGCAATTCTAAGCTGAAACATTCCATACTTTCACTACCCTTATGGGAACATGGGACTTTGACTTTCTCCTATTTAACATTGCTTATAAAACCTTAGTTTCCAAATCCAGACAATTGTACATACATTGCTATTGTCTTATTTTCTCAAAACTGCCTAAACCTTTGGCTTTTCAAAGTTTTCTAGCAATGCCTAGACTTCCCTCTCTGATCCTACTAATGACACAAATTGCTCCAGCTTCATTCCATCCTTAGCCTCATTTATGCCTTCTCCTTGCAACCCACCAAAACCAAATAATGCCATCCTGTTGTAGGACCACACTGGCTGGTACAGAACACTTCCACATGGATCTGTGTGTGAGCTTCAGTGCCACCCCTGCTACTTCATAGGAATCCTTAACAGAGCTAGGACTGTACTGGCAACACTCTCCTCTACCAAACTGCTTTGGTGAGGAGTCTGAGGCTACACATGGCAAAGCATGGATTTGCAAGGAACTACTCTAACAACTGTTTCTCTGTGCTAGTAAAGTGCATGGATACACAACATTCCCTTAATCTTTAAGACTGACAGATATGTGCAGTATTTCTGCAGCCAGGAAACTGAAAGGACATGGACTTAAAAGATCTTTTGCTGTGGTGCTCTCATAATTGCATACACATTTACAGCTGGATCCATGCAAATTAAGGGTTTTCAGTACAGCATCAAATAGTATTCTTATTTCAATTCAGCAATTTGAATACACTGCTACTAAAGAAAATAAAGATCCTTATTTTCTTAAGAAAGTTAAGTAAAAAACATTAATTCATGCAGAGCCCTCAAGCATGTATTCAACAGGCTTAGGACAAAACAGTAACCTCTGTGTTTTTCACCACGTCAGCATTCTAAGCAATTCAAACATTCGGTTAAGCAAGGAATTTCCCATGTAATTCAAAAGAAATATAGAAAGAGAATATAGAAACCTTCATGTAAAATCACACACTGTTAAGTTCTAATTTCAGGTACTAGCCACTGGACTCTACCAATACCTTACACTAACAGACTCCTTCTGGTGTCACAACCCTCAACAGAAACATTAATACCATCTGACCTATTTTTAAAAGTTCAATGCATGTCAGTGTGTTAACTGTAACATCTCAGGTCCATCAGCACAGGGACTAATTATAACAGGTCACCCAGAAGGGCAGATTTCTGGTAGGGAAAACCAATTACATTTGCAAAAAACAAAAAAGAACAACAACAAAAAAACCAACTAACAAAAAAAAAAAAAAAAACCCAAAAAAACCCAACCAAAATACAAAACAAAACAAAAAAACTAAAAAAGCCCAACCAAATTTTACCAATACTGAGATGTGTGGAGAACTACCATGTGCCATATTTTTCTAGTATAGCAAGACAAAGGCTTCTGAAGAGATGGTCCCACTGAACTCCCAGATTTCATTTGCCTAAAGAATGCTCTAGTTTGGAGAACAAGCACCACCACCTTGGTTTCTTAAGAATGATAAATCCAGAAGGTGTAGCCATGATCAAGCAGCACACCAATGTTAGATCCTGTTGGTCAGCATTATTACCGTCACAGTTCTCCAGCTGCCTGGTTACAAGTTGCATCTGCTGTGCTCGAAGACCTTTCAATCCTTTGCCAGCACACATATGCTGGGTAACTGGTTTTAATCCTTCCATTAGACACATGTCTTCCTCATCCTGATCAGAGAGGTATCCTGGTGGACTGGGCACACCATCCAGTGTCACAATGAACTTGGGACTAGCAGGTTTCTCTGGCTGTGCAAGCTGGTCTCTAGCAAACAAAGAAATGTAGTAAATTTACATTTTCTGACTCAAGAGGTTTGAGTAAATGTGAGCTGTGGTGAGTGAAAGTAGTACAAGCTTATCAATCAAACAGTAACAGACTTTCTATTATTAATTATTGGTAATGCACTCCATTTAACAGTTAGATTTCTAGTCTCCCTGAGGCACTAATAAGAACTACAGCTCTCAGGTACAAGTTTAGTTTGTTGCATTCTGCTCAACAGACAGATCCAAAAACTCATTTACATTCAATCCTGTGGAATTTGCAGTTTTGAGGGAGAAAAAGAGAGCAAATACCATTCTTGGAATTACAAACCTTTTAACACACCAAACATGTGTCTCCTCAAAATTACTAAAAAGCACATTATGAAACAGTGGTGTAAAAGTTTTTAGAACTAGGACGAGAGAACTGAAATACTGATACTAAGAACTTTGACACAGCCTGAGTAAAAGGTCAGACACTAATAGCCTAGTGTCCTGTATCTGACAGTAGTCAGATAAGAAGGAGCATTAAAGCAGGGAACACATACATTTTCTCCAGCCTTTCACCATCCCATCCACTTCACCGGAGGGATTTCTGAATGACAAGTGATTCTAAGTATTTGGAGGATTGTGGAGTTCTCATCTTAGACAAGTGGAGTTCTCATCTTAGACAAACAACAATGGGATAAACTTTGCCTCCTTATGAAGTGAGGCTAAAAGCAACTACACTGTAGAATGCCTTTAAGAGGACAAAAGCCAGAACATGAAAAACATCACAGGTTAGAACTTCCAGACTCAAGCAGTCAAAAACTGACCTATTCACATGCAAAAATTTACCTCTCTCCTATAGCAGAGTCACAGCTTTTGACTGTGATATTGCCAGGTTATCCTTCTGGGTTTGTTTGCTCAGTGTTGGTTTTGTTTTCATTTAACACAGGCTGTTGAAAGCCACTCACAGAAAGGAAACACCAGCAGTTTGTCAAGCACAGCAGCCCACGTGATGAAGTTCATCACGCTGTTCAGAGTGGTTTTAACTTGTAAAAGGTATTTGTTACATGGAACTTTGAAGCTGACAGGAATTTTAAGCTCCTCCTGGTCAAACTCTCCAGAAAGGAGCCTTAAATCATTGTCCAGGATTCACCACATTCAGTACCATGTTAAAATATGTTTCTTAAGAAATGTAATCCAAGGGTGGAACAGGTATAAAACTAAAGGCAATTTAAGCAAAATGATTACTTGACTAAGATTTCAGAAGTCAGAACAGAAGAGCAATACTTTTCAGTTCCTTCTTCTTTCTTGCAAATCAAAGACATGCTTAAGCTAGAGTTGATCTTAGGATTATTTTCCATTGAGAAGGATTTCTGTGAGGCTTCTTGCCCCTGCTTTTTTTCTTCTGTTATTTAAAGTCAGTCCATTTTGCATGGTTTCACACCTCCTGACTGAACTGACAAAGCACAAGTCTGACCAAATGGTTCCATTTAAACCACAAACAAGCAATTTGACTAGCAACTGTCCTAAATGAAGTATCTTTTCACCGTGTCTGTATCAGACGTCCTGAGTGAACTCGCACTGCCTCTGTACCCTTCTTTCCCAACTGCTGATTCTGCGGCGCCATCTCCTCTGATAACTTGGGCTTCTTCAGGATAAAGGACCGAGTGTCTGAGTGGACCAAAGACTCTGGATCACAGTAATCTGCATTGGGAGAAAAATTACATAGAGAAGTGTAAAATAAGGTGGCAGATGTGCTCTTAACTTATAGCATATTTCTAGTATCAATTTATGTGGTCAATAAGCCAATCTTACTTTGTTTTAATTTGTTCCTAGTAGTTTCCAGTAAAAGTTTTTACTTCCCTGTTAATTCTACAGAGGTGGATCAACAGAAGCCATAAGCCATATTAGGTCAGATCAGGAAATTTTATAAGTGGAATGGCTATGCTGAAACAGCCTTGAAGGGGGTGCAACCCCCCTTCCCCTCCAAATCTCTCATCCTCTGAACAGCTACTAATGTAATGCGTTTATTCCTTAGAGATGTAGAAACTAGATAATTGTAGAAATCAGCATAATTAATTGAAAAGGAGTGTCTTAACATTCACTGGTCAGGAATATTAGATTTGAAAATAAAAGATCACAAGACTTAACCCTGAGTCACTTGCAAGACATCTTCAATCATAGGATCAATCTGAAGCCGACAAGAGAGCTCCTTTTGTTCAATTCCTAAAAAAAACAGCAATAAGAAGCATATTTTACAGGATGTCAACATGAAACTATAGATTAGAGAACTGGGGCGCACTCTCTAATTCTTTCAATAAAAAAAATCAACAACAAAAACATTCACACTTTAAACACTTTTAAAAGCTATTCTCATTATTATGAACCCTTTTCTCATTGTTTCAGAAACAGTAACATGGCAAAATCAAAGTACTGTAGGACACTACTTCTTCCCATAATCGCTGCTCAGTACAAATGAGGTCTGTGGGCACAGCAACTGATGAAGGCCAAGTTGCTCCTCCTCATTTGTAGAGGAGTTGGACATTCAGACAACACACACAGAGGAAAGCAATTAACAAGGGACTACTTTACAGTCTTCTTAAAATAGCTGAAGTAAATCAGAGCAGCACTCTTCTATATTTGAGATATAGTTAAAAATTTTTTATTTTTGCTTTCTGTAGATTTCCTAAGCAAGCTATCATTTCCATTTCAATGGCAAAAGAGTGAAAATATTTAGCATAATTATATTATGTGCATTAATTCAAAGGCTGATAAAGCTTTTTCTCACATACTTTACAGATACAATTTCAACTACTTAAGGGTAGCAGAAAGATTCCAAATATATCTATATTAGGAATAAGCAACTGCAAAAATCTTACTTAAATAATGGATGTTCACCATTCCTTTACAATGACCATAGGATGATGTAACAAAAATCTTAGTCAAAACCAAATTTTATTCATAATCCAAATATCTAAACACTTAGCAAGTATAAACTAAGTACTTGCTATAGAAATATTTTTTTCCCTGCCCTTCTTCTATGTGACTTCTATAATTCCTTGTGACTATTCCCCATCCTCTATAAGAAAATCATGCTGAAAAAGTACTTTGACTGCCTTTAAATATTATGCCCTTTAGGAGATTCAAAACAGAAGTAAAAACCAAAGCTGACACAGTTAGCCTGGTATCAGCTGTCTTGTAAGAGCAAATAAAATATTCTTATATTTAAACTGAAAAATAAAACACTAGAACCATTAGTGTGGAAACCATGTGTTGAAAGAATCTTTTAATACTTCATACACTGGAAAAGTGTTCTAAATACTCTATAGTATCTTCACTCTCACTTAAGCTTTGTGACAGAATTACTTCTACAAGATATTAAGGAAAACATGCAAAGGATGGGGAAAAGAGAAACTATCCAAATATAAGTGCTTCTGCAAAATTATTCTTCACTGACATGTCACAAAATGATATCCCCTAGTATAAATTCTTAAAGAATATTATCAGATGACCTTGAATTTCTTCAACTGTCTGCTCCTTTGACTCTTCTACTTGAAGTTGAGAACTCAGAACAGGCAATCTGCTTTGCAAATGAATGACTTCTAACTGTGACTCTTCTGGGCTAATTCGAGTTCTTGGTGCAACTGGAACAGTTTGTTTCTGTGGAACTTTAAACAGAGAAACAATGGCAAATCATTTAGATAGTACCCAATCACACTGTTTTTAGATATATTGTGCTAAAATAACTCTCACAAATTCCTACACACACAAAAAGAAAAATCTCAAGCATCTCTCTCCTCAAAAATCATCTTTAGCTACCTGTAAAATTCTTAGTGTTCAAGTATACTTGTGCATGTGCACAGAGCACCCTGAGTGGCATCTTGGAACACCTACTTGTAAGACAAAACAGCATGAGGAGGATTAGAGTGACAACAGCAAAGTACTGATTAATCCACATCTACATATAATTAATGTAGTGCTTTCTGAGAGTTTTGAAATCACTTTTCATTCCATCTTTCATATAAATAATCATGGATCATCAATATCATTCTTCATATGATGCTGGCTCATCCTTTGCTGAAGTGCTTGCAAATAAAATACAAAACTTAATGGCAGCAGAAGCATAGAATCACTTAGGTTTGAAAAGACCCTCAGGATCACCAAGTCCAACTGTAACCTAGTCCACCACCACCAAGTGCACCACTAAACCATATCACTAAGTGCCACATCTACACCTCTTTTAAATACCTTCAGGGATGGTGACTCCACCACTTCTCTGGACAGCCTGTTCCAATGCCTGACCACCCTTTCCATGAAGAACTTTTTCCCAATATGCAGTCTTAACCTCCACCAGGACCACCTGAGGTCCCTTTCCCTAGTCCTACCGTTTGCTATTCGGGAAGTGATCAACCCTGACAGAACTACAACCTCCTTTCAGATAGTTCTAAACATCTGTACAGATAGCTGTGGCTTGGAATTTGGGGGTAGTACGACAACAGGTTGACTTCTTTACTTGGCTTCTGCTAAGATTGTCAGAGCTGATTGTGAGAAGCTAAACTCTTCCCTTGGCTGAGTATCAGATTAGCATTCAACTTCTGACACAAACAACTAAAAGGTACCACTCAAGTAGTGGATTAATTACTTATGAATTTACTGTTTTGTTTTACTGTTTTATGTGTTTTAAATTCGCTTACTTCCATATTCCATTCAAAACACTTCAAAAAATATGTTAAATATTACTTCTGAAGTGAAAGAATCTGCATGATACTTCAGACAAAATTCACAAATCACCTCCATATTAAAAAACAAAGAGGTGCCTTCTGGTCTCTTCACTGAAATATTCTCATATTGCTAAGTCAAACTACAAGATCACCACTATTAAAAAGATTGAAAGTTTTAATTAATTTAGACTTTTCTAGCTGTGTATCATTTCCCACCATGCTGCTTTGTACACAGGGAAGAGCTTCCTACATCCTCTCAAAGTACTGTTTCTTACAGTTTGAAGAATTTGAGAGAGAGCAGGCAAGAGACTTCAGATGGTATAAAAGTCATGGTTTAAATAGTTTAGTGAATGTTCCTTCCCTGGCAAGGTGCAATGTATCCTGCTGACAACATGTAGATTAACCAACACCCAGTGAAATGAAAGTAAGAGACAATACCTGGATTTGGTCTTTTCAGAAGGCTTTTTCTCCTAGCTAAGAGAACTGAACGCCTACTCACAGACAACTGCTCAACTGCTGTGTCAGCTGCAACTAAAATCACTGAACTGAAACTGCAGCCTTGCTGTTAAAGGACAATATACATCATCATACGCAGCCTGATACTTATCAACATACCCTGATATACATCAATCACTTTGTTCCTTATTATTTTGCACTTCTAGTATCTATATCCAGTGCATTTTCATTTTTTGCTGTTTGGCTTTTTCTCCTCCCCTCTCAGCAGGAAGAAGGAATGTGAAGAAAGGGAAAAGAGATCAAGTAAATAATTCAAACCAAATGACTTATTCTGATTCACTTCCCCTTGGCAACTATTGACTTCAGAATACTTTGGGCACTTCCATTTTGCATCTATGCACTTCACAGACTTACTATCTTGATTAGTATCTTTTAAATATCACTTCTCTCCCTCGTTTATGTTTTCACAAATCCTCACTGAACATAAATGTAATGGAGCAGGACACGGTAAATCCCTCATGTGTAAGTGACTTGCTATTTAGCATTCTGTCTTATCTCTAAGCACTTTCTTTAGCTTGGATTTATACAACAGAATTTGGAAATACTACAGATTAACACAAGAAAAATCAATGCTAATTACCAGTGGAATAATTGGTTGTTTTTGTAACTGATTCCTGTGCTTCAGAGATTGCTTTCAGTATTAAATTCTTATTGGCCTGCTTTGAAGGCGGCAATGAAGGTCTAAAGGAAATAAAAAAAAAATTAATTGTACATGGATTGCACACCAGTCGTATCCACGTTAAAGACAGTTGTTTCAACACGTTAACACAGGAATAATATTAACAGAAATCATCATCTACAATTATTTTATGCGAAACAATTTTCAGTTCATCTATTCTCTCAGTGGTTGGAGATCCACAAAATGCTCTAAAAAAATGGAAGTCCAGATGTGTGATTTCACCTCTCAAGCTTCTGTAAAACCATCCCATGAGAGGCATTCTCTGCCATTAATTTCTTCCCTCCTCTGCCCACCACTTGTATCTTGCTGTTTTTGCTGGCACAAATAATTATGCAGCCATTCTGAGAAATATGATCCAGCTGCATAATTAGACTGACTCTATCAAAAACGTTATTTGTAGAAAAAGGCCTTATGCTTGTCTTTAATATCAACAATAAGGAAGCTTAAATCAGACCAATGTGCTGTGGTACTGAAGATAAATTAAATAGAGTGTATTAGCTCAAAATAAATCTTATACAAGCTAGCACTAGACCCATCTCTTCTCTAGTTTATATGTTCTAACTCTATTGTAAAAAATCAAATACAAAAGATACGTATTTTGACTAATGCCTGACACTGAGACAGAATTAGGGAACAGAAAAAAAGGAAAAACCTCTGAAGACTGTTTGAAAAGTTGAAATCACCTTAAAGGACAAGTGATAACTGGTTTGAAAACAATTCCTGAAAATAAATCAAATTACTGAAAAATTATTTTACCACAATAAATACCTGGTCAGAAACATGTCAACATTAATGTTCTTTTGCCAGTAAGCTTCACCCAAATAATGTAAAAAGTCACACTTCATTGCATCTTTCATGCAATAATGAAAAGAGGTTACAAAATCAAAGGCAAAAGGGTTGCATAAACAGGCATCTCATCCACAGAGTTGTGAGATAGTACAAAAAATATTAAAATGGTTTACTAAAGTTTGTCTGTCAATTATCAAAAGTGCAAACTGATTTTCCCCACTTCCACAGTTTTCATTCATGATAGTAATTCTTGAGAACTCAGAAACACTGAGATCTTCAGTACCTTCTTTCTGGCTTTGCAGGTACAGACACACTGCTGGAGATGCTTCCTGTTCGCAATCCATAGTCTTCCTCTTCCTCTTCATCTTCTCCATCATTACAGAACTTTTTCACTTTGACTACCGAGCTTACAACGGGCAGCCGTCTCTTCCTGGAGCTTTCCTCCTACAACACAGAGCCGGCAAAACAGCTCACTTAGGAAAACCACGGATCAATCAGCCAGCAAAGAAAGCACTGCAATTCCAGATGCTGCCAGGAGATGGAGAACTTCCATTCCAGCTGGGCAAGGGACTGCTCTGGATAATGCGAAAATCAGACACATTTACACTGAAACATCTCACCGTCTCACTGGAAACGTACCTGTAAACAACACTAAGGGAAAAAAAGAAAAAAACTCATGTACAGAAAAATTATCCAACACCTACAGAACAGTATTCTTCAAGATGAGTATGCTGAAAGTCGGAGAGAAAAGTGAAATCAGTATAAATTAGTTTCTTCCCCTGTATCAACTCAAACTTCACATAAGTGTAAGGATTCATTTCTAGCAAGAAAATTACATATTTCAAAGGATGTTAACTGTTACACACAGTCAGGATGGTCCAGTCTACATAGTGCAAGTTCCCTGTTGTCTCTTCTGGACATTATTCATGAAACAGTAACAGAAGAAAAGTATCACGAGACCTTTTCTGAACATTTCCAAGGAGAGATGTTCCTAACATTCATCAGCGATTTATGTACATTAAATAAATCACTATATTCTCATTTGCACTTCTCCATTCTCAAAAACTAAGACACCAGCATGTATCTTTATAGAGCATTCTAGATTTCCAAGTAAAGTTCATTATCCTTTACAAAGAATTAAGTAGTGGCCAAGACAGAATTTTATGACCAGCAATAAACATAGATGCACTTGCAATACAAGGTATGTAAAATACTTGCTTCATTACAACATTAGCAGCCATAACTATTTGCATTCCTCTCAAAAAAAGCTCTTCATTCATATGGTTAGTCTATCAGCTAGGACTACCACTCTGCCTGGCTTAGCTTGGCCTCCAAAGTACTTAGGGCAGCAACCGTCTTTTAGTTTGTCCTTGTCCAACATCCATCCCAAAGAATTTCTAACTCACATGGCTCTAAATAGAATAGTATTAATAATCCTCATCATCAATGTATCTGGGCTAATAAAGAGCATGCCAAAAATCCTGATTTACAGGACTGTGTAAAGCTGGGGGTGTACATAGCACTTAGGGAAAATCATGCTAGTTCAATGATCTAAAGATCAGAATTACAATTTCTGATTCATCATATGCAGCTCAACAATGTACAAACTTGTTAGTCCAAGTCAATATGACATGAAAATGTACATGGTAATTAAATCTGAGATGCAGCAAGCTCTCAGATAATGATGTCAAATTGTGCAATCTGTTTTGGACTCAAAGGATGAAATCTCAAACTTACTGCTACCATTGACATAAGTCTTTTGATTTCTCTGAGGTCAAGATTCTACTGAAGTGTACATAGCAATTTAGGCTCCTAACAAGAATGAACTTTTGCAATAGTCAAGGTTGTACCAACCTCACTGGCCACTTTATCAGCACCGAGTTTGGAGGTGGGTCTGTGACCTTCTGTTAAGCTGCCAAATGCTTCTGGATTGCACAGCTGGCCTTTTTCCAAAGACCTGCAGCCTTGTGTGTCTAACTGGCGGCTCCCCTGCAAGCTGCCCTGTTGTGACAATCTGGACACGTGAACGCTGGCCTCTGCACTCCTGACAGCTGGTGGCCGGTAGATCTCGGCCGAGGGACGAGAGGAACCGTAAGTTACAGTCACAATGGGTTTCTTCCGCGACAAAGGATTCTCCGGCACGAAGTTTAGGTCTTCATCAATTAGATCATCTGGTTCAGGTTTAATGTCAATTACAGCCTCAGAAGGTGACAATTCCCTCAAAGGCTTGACAGTAGATGTTAAACAGGATGCAGAACCAACTTCACAAGACTGCCTGATAAAAAAAGAAATCGACAACTGTTATCCGCAAGTCAAGTTCTGGAAAATGAGAAATGTCTTTTAATCAAAGCCAGGAGAGAAGAATCATTATGGTATTACTGTTTATACAAATTTAACGCACTGATATGTTCAGTTTGGTTAATTAATCTAAGCCCATATTGCTTAAAGAACTGATTTTGTTCTGATTTAATATTTTTTGTACAACAAATTGTAGCAATGATTTACTGTTCAAAAGTACTTGTATCTTTCCAAGTGTCTGTACTCTTTAGAATGGCTACTACACTCGCACAACTACTGATGTCTGAAGGTGTGTTAGGAAGTAGCCAGCAGCCTTACCTGGAAGCAGTGTTCCTCTGCTCCTGTGAGCTGGTTGAAACTCTGGAGTCATTTCTTTCAGTCCGAGTGCTTGACACCGCAAGAGGTGGCAAGATATCCTCACGCCTCCTCTCATCGCTCACACATGAACTGCTTTTGCTGGAAGGCAGGTTGCTCTCAAAGACATTAGATTCTGAAGATTTTAGGCTGGTTGGTTCTGTGGAGACAGGTACTTTTCACTTTTACATTAAACCACATAAACAAAAAATTAACGAAACAGCCAAGATATTTTTGCAACTCAGACATATAACACTACACAGAAAAAAATAAGCCTCCCTTCACTCAAAATTTAATTTTCTTACTTACCAGTAGTCACAGATCGCAGCTTATCCAAAACACCATGGAGCCTGAAATATACAGCAGACAGGGAAGGACGCAAAAGAGAAAAAGGAGAAATAAAAACTTTAACTTACATTCAGACTAATAGAGATATCTATTATATATATATATATATATATATAGATAGATAGATAGATAGATAGATAAGAGACTAATCAGTTTTCAGAAATCCACCTCCTTTCCACCCTTAAGACTTCAACTTCCATCAACCGAGTATGTTTAACCTCAAAAAGGAGACTTAAAGTACCTTGCTTCCAGTATGTCTTGCACATGCAGGCAGAGTATTCATCACATCATCTACTTTTGACATTTAGTTGGTTTACATAATCAAAGCCAATACTATCCCCCTTTCACTACAATCAATGGAGTTAAGTATCAAAAAGATTTATTCAAAAAACCTAAGTTAGAAGCCTAAAGCATAGCCTAAAATTTTACTTTGTATATGAAAGTTTAATTACACAGTAGAGTTAAATATAGTTGTAACTACTCAAACAGTATACAACTCATAATATGTAAGATTCTCAGGATTCTTCCAGGATGGTTTGTATATACCAACAATACTCTCTGAGATGTGCTGGTGAGCAAAAATATCTCAGCAAAGTACCAAATTTGCCCTTTGCCTGTGAAAAAGGCACTAAGCTGAAGTAACACAGAAAATTACATGACTTTAATACAATAAGGCTGCTCAAAAATAAACACAGATTACACTGAGAAGAAAGAAAAAAAGTCCCAACACTTAAACTCATATCTTACTTGGAATTCAAACCTGATAACGGGCAAGTCCCTAATTTAGGCTGAATATTAGAAATGAGCTAAGGGACAAGAACATATTGAAAAGACTGCATGTGGATATAATGAAGGCTTATACTTGTTCTCCTTGTGAGCTTTCACTAGAACACTTGTCAGCTGAGCTCTGGTGATGCAGATCAATTTTCACACTGGCCTCAGGATAACTGATCTGACACTTGGTTCAGAGTAAGAAGTGGCGTCCGACCAGCAGGATTGCCAAGTTTGTCACAATTGCTGCGAAACTTTTGCCAGGAGGCCCAAAATTACCAGCCAGAGAGACAAACCAAGGAAGGCAGATCTTGCTGACTACTGTATTTAACCAACATTTAAGAACATATACATTTTGGGTTGTCTTTAGAAGAAATAAAAACATATAAAATTCCCAGCTACAATGCTATGTAACACTTTTCCACCAGTCCCCCTACAGCTTATTCATAGGTTTCATCTTGTCTTCTTTTCCATCCTTCTTTTAACCAATACCTACTTTGGTACCTGATAGTGCACTCTTAACATTGAGTTTGTGTATAGATTATATATATATATATGAGGATACTGACTTAGAGTTACAACGGTCACTATGGTTAAAATTTAAGCAGGTGTCAAAACCAGCTGGTGGTATAATATATGCATATAGTCAACACATCATTTTAAATGTAAATATATAAAATGATCTTGATTTCTTTGCTGAAATTTGCCTTCTCTACATATATATTATTTTCTCAATAAAATTTTAGTTTCATTTACAAAGCCTTGGAAGTGTTTTCTGCTACACTATTTCTTACTGTATATCGGGATTCAGTCAAAACCGTAGTACAGGAGCTACATCCTCATCTACCTGTAAACTTCTCTGATTTGTCTGATTCCTAAAACTAGTATGAGAAAGACAACTGCATGATTTCCTGATACACTGAAACCCAAAAGGTCCACCCCACCTAGGTAGGCCACAAGAGGCAGCAAAGAAATGCCTGTGCAGTTTTCAAAAAAGAGGTCCATGCTTAATTGTACTCCTTTATTGTATTTCTGAAAATGCCAGGAGAAAAATGACACCTGTGTAAGTAAAATTGAACTATATCCACACAAGTTACACTATCACCTGGAAATACATCAGTTTAAATAGCTAATACAGTGAATTGTAATAGCTGGAACTATTTTTCATTTTTTGTCAGTATTTATGATTTCATAACACAGCCAACTTCTAAAATGTTTCTCTCCGCTATTCAATAACAGAAAAGCTCCTAGGAAGTAATTACATAGAAGAAATATTGGAAGTGAATGTAAACTACCAGTATGAAAATGTCAAAGAAAGTAAACTGAAAAAGAAAAAAAATTGTAGTATTTTTCTCATCTATACAAAACAAAATAATGTTCCTTAAATCTCTATTAGGTAGGAGATTCAGAAATAAGATTAAATTGAAAAAATACACAACTCAAAGCAACAAAATCTCTAGAGTCAAATGTCTGATTTATTTACAGGTTTCTACTGTAAAACAAATTCAGTATTAGAAAATGCATGAGAAATAGAATGGCTAAATTTGTCATGCAGCATGGAATAAATGAATTTTCATTGTCAGGAGCTGACAGTAGAGTTGAAGTGTTGCTAACTTGTCCTGTTCACAGTAATTCTGAGGTTCTACTTTTGATTTTTAGTTGGGTGGTGGTAATAAATAAATAGCCTGAGAGGTGGGAATACCTAAGCATTTAGTGCTAAGCCTTGTCAAAGACAGTACACAGAATTAGATCCACTGCTCATCTGCCCTGATATAGTAATTCCCAGGCACAGCAACCTGAAGCACTGTTAGCATAGAAGCAAACAGATTGGTTCTTCACATCTAACTGCAGTGAACAATGCTCTCATGCTCACAGGAGCTTTTGCAGGAATAATTTTAAGTCAATATACAGCCCTCACTTATCTGAGCACTTTATTTACAAATCTAACCGGTTTATAAACAAATACATCCTCCAGTCCTTTGCATTCTAACTATCACCTCAAAAGCCTAACTGCTGACAGACTAAAACTAATGTACTTATTAGACATGAAAAGTAGGAGTTTTTACTAATGCAAATTACACAATGGGAAGATAAATAACTTTTTTAAATGTTAGGTGTCATTTACAGAAAACAGTCCTGCACTACTGATAAGAAGTGCAACAAGTAGCTTGCAAACATACCAGACAGTAAACCTGACAGTATTGTTTCCAAGGAAAAGGGAAAGGTCTTCTGTCATCTGCTCTTGACTCTTCTTATTGGCCACCATAACCATAATATAATCAGGGAGCTCTTCATCTAATAGAAAGAGAAACATGTAGTTTTAAAGCATAATAAATCATGGAATACATAGTAAACATCTCTAAACGAGTAACCAATTTTTTTGTCTCTCTTACTACAAAGACTGTTCAGGCAGAGGATTAGGTAAGCGAATTAACAAGACTTCCATTTCATCTGAGGTTCAATACAAGTCTCATTTACAAGCAAGGAATAAAAGATCATCAACTTCACAAGAGCATAAGCTGAAGATCAGTGTATTTTAAAAGTGAGTAAACAGAACAGAAAGAAGGACAAAATAAAAGAAAGCCACTCTGCTGCCTATATCCTTTTTCTTGAATACTAGCAAACATCTACAATATTCATCACCTCAAATATCGCCAAATAAAGCACCTTATCCTTGTCAAATTTCCTTTAGCTACAAAAAGTAAAGAAATAAATATCCATTTCTAATATGTGCATTAAACAAATCAAAACTCTATTAACTTCCAGATTTTTTACTACAAAAATAAAGCAAATTCCAGTAACCTCAAGACTGAATTTCTAGCCTGTAATGCTAGAAATTGTGTACATTGCCTTGTACACAAGGCACTCCCACTCCTCAGAATGCGTAGGAAGGTGCTTAGAGCCTGGCATTACCGCATTAAGGACTTGGGGAGTTTGGTGTTTGCCATTTCGCCTTGGCCTCTGCTGAAGGACTGACTGCCACAATTGTTGCTCAAAGGCATTAGTTGTGCTGCTTGAGCACTGACTTCAATTTAGTTTAATCAAACAACTCATGCTCTCCAATTCCACTCCATGGCACAACATGAACATAACAACAGTAAGGGCAAACAGCTGGGAAATACCTCAACTTATGAATTTGAATCAAGGCACTAATACAGCTGTGCTTATTTAATCAAGCACTAAACACAGCACTAAAAAGACCTAAAAATGAAAAATAGAAAACAAAATCCAAACAAAAGGAATTGCCTTTTTTCTATATCTATGTACACTGTAAATAATTTACCCCTCCCCTAGACTACAAAAATACCATTCACACATTGTACCTGCACTACCACTACTCAATTGTCCAAACAACCCTTTCAGAGCTTAAACCCTTACTTCTTTTTGGCGGCTTTTTGTTTATTTCAGATTTTGTTGTTGCTGCTTTGTGTTTGGGTTTCTTTTTCACTGCAAACTACAAGTTGCACAAGATGAACCAATGTTCAGACCTAGGACCTTAGGATGAATTTTATTTATCAGCCAAGCTACTTTTAAACATGATAAGCTCTTCAGGTGGTTAAACACATGATAAAGTAAAAAAGATATTTTAAGTACAGATAAAAACATAAATTAGCACAATTATGTGCAACAGTATGATAGAAGAAGGAAAGAAACTTTCTTAGTAACTGTGTTGGCTTATGCCAACTTAAACTGTATGTGGAACTTCAGCCTTTTGAAAAATTTCTTAGCTGATAATTAACTGACTTCATCTTGCCTAAAATACATGAATATTTCCTTTGTAAGCTCTACACAACAAATAAGTTTTAAAACATCTTCTTGTAGAAGACTTTTCAAGAGAAAAGAATTAGCAGTTACAGAAAGAAAAAAAAGGATGGTTCTTGTGCAGAGGTTAGAATGAGGGACAACCAACTTTGTACAAGTTACCTGAAAGAAGAAATGGAGAGTTTTTGAAAAAGATTACTTTAAAAGTTATCCAAAATACTCCAGTCAAGAAAAGAAACCTGTAAAATCACAGAAATTTGGAAACAGTAGTTTAAAAAGAAAAAAGAGGCCAACCCAAGACAGATTTAGCAATGAAGAATACAACGTTATTTAAAGAAGTTCAGAAGCTGACTTAGAAGAAACTGCAGACATTGTCTGCTGATCCTGGCAATACAGGAAAACTGTCCTCTGAATACAAGAAACAGAAGGCAAAGAAAGAAAGAATAGTCATAGCTGGAATCAAAGATGGCTAGTATTCTACCAGCATCTCAGTATTAGAGACAATAATTTTTTATTTCAGAAATACAGGAGAAAGCAAAGAATCAAGGACTGAGAAATTGAAACCTGGAATGATAGTAAAAATGCCCCAACCAAACAAACAACAAGAAATGAGTTATTTAAAAAAACAAGCTTTGAAATGGTGAAAGAGATGATTTTACAATTAAAAAATTCTAAATGCAGTTCCTAGGCACCACCTGAGTTCAGAATGTCAGCTCATAGGCAACTCCCTTCTATGGAGCCAATACATTTTTCCATAAATACAATGCCTCCCTTGAAATAGGAAAGATTAATTTGGGCTCAAACAATTTTTGAACTTGGCCCTGCAACTCACAGAATCTCTAAATTATGCTTTTAAGTCCTTTTCTTCACCTGAAATCCAAGAAGCATCACAGACAACAACAATGCAGTTTCAGGATTGAGGTATTTTGTTTCCAGCAGAATGCTGTGTTAAGTTACCAACTTCTATTGCTGCAGAGAATGGCTGCTCTGAAATGCAATATCCATTTCTTCACAGATTCAGAAAAAATAAACACACCATAAGACCACAGATGCTTATATGGCTCACCCCTCCTGTCACAAACCAAAATAAAACCTGCCCCTGCCTCTAAGTATCAGATACACGTATTTCAGCATCACTAGCTCTACATAGCTCATTCATTTTTAAAGTTTGTCCCACATAATGTTTCTGACGTGGCCTTTTAATTTCCTAAGCCATTCACTCATCTTTGTCCTCTCTTCTTATTTCAACAGATGCCTCACCCTGAATTCAAGAACTAATAAAAATATGCCTAAGAAAGACTGATTCCATCTCAGAGTGGTCACAGCTAACTGCTGCTGTATTTCCAAGGCTCTTGCTTTATGTAATGTTTCTCCTAATGCTTCAAAGCAATTTCCTTAAATATTCACATCATGGTTTGTTTTTCTTTCAAATCCCTTGCCACCATTTCTAAAGGGGAGGATTATTAGACTGAATTCTTAGTTATTTTCTTTTAGTTTTTCATATACTGATGTTCACATACTATTTCCTCTTACGCGTACAGTAATATTTTGTGAAGTATGCCTCTTTCTTTCTCACTAGTCCAGCACTTCAGGTAATTCTCATGCTTAAGGCTTCTGTATGCAGTAACACAGGTAATAGTAAGTTTCATTAGCTAAGCTGTTTTTTTTCTTACATAACAAAAATTATCTAGAGAACATTGCTGAACACGTGGCAAAACTTACCAACATAAGCCCCCAGCTCCTGTAACTTTCCTTTTATAGCACCCTAAAAAATAATGAAATACTGTTTAAGGGATGGATCAACAAAGTATTTCTAACTGCAAACAAGTGGGAGGCTTAGCAAAGTTTTTCTCACTTACTGTTTGAACACATTGGTTTAACATGTTAAACTTTTCCCATTCTCTGCTGCTCAGGATAGGAACGCTCTAGCAGGGAGGGGCTGGCAGCAGAGTAACGGAATCTCACCCCGCACCGCACTTCCGACAGACCAGTTCCTGGCGCTACCATTCAACCTCCAAGTCCCAGCTGTCTTTTTTTAAAGCAGAGACCAGCCGGACTCACAAGATGCAAAGAACACTAATCTAAGATGGTTTCATACCAGGTAATTCCCAGCTCAGCAACAGAAACCTGCCGGGATTTGCACCCTGTGAGTGCCGAGTGGGAGCCGCTGACAGGCCCTGCCGGTACCGAGGGCTCTCACCCGGTACAGGTGAGAGCAGCCCCGCGGCCGGGCGAGCTCTGCAGGGCGACAGCCCCGGGACACAGCGAGCAGCTGCCCGTGGGGGACAGGGGTACCCCGACTCCGCCTCCCACAAAAACAACTCCTGCTCCCGCTCTCCCCGGGGAGCCCGCAGGCCGAAGGACCCCGCTGCCGGCAGCCGTGACGGGGGCGGGGGGGCGGCCGGAGCCCGGTGCCTCAGCCACCAGCTGCGGGCCCGGCCTCCTGCCGCGGCGCACGGAGCGACCCGGCTGCTTCTGTCTCACCCGGATCTTGCGGCTGATCTCGGTGCCGATCTCCATGGCCGCGCCGAGCCTGCCCCGTCCCGGCCCGGCTCCCACCGCCGCCCGCGCGGGTACCGAGCGCCGCTCGGGCTCAGTGCGCGGCCTCCGCCGGCACCGCCCCCTGCCGGGCGGCGGCCGCACCGCCTGCACCGCGGCGGGAGCCCAGGGGAGCGCACGGAGCGGGGGCGGCCGCCGGGCCGGCTCTCACCGCCCCACAGGGAGAGAGCCGGCGTGCCGGCGGTGCCAACCACAACTGCGGGGTCGTTTCAGTGTTAGTGCTCTTCTCGAGAGCTGCACAAATTAAATACTCTTACCTGTTAAAAAACAAATAAATTATGGTATAGCTATACACAAAGTATTCAAGTAACTTTTAATGCAACACTACAGCTATAAAGGTTTCCTGGCGCCCACCACAACCTCTTTGCCACCCCCTTTTCTCATCAGGGCAGGAGAGAGAAATTATAACAGAAAGCCTCATGTGTTGAGAACAGGAGACCTCACTCACTGATTACTGTCATGGATAAAACAGAATTGGGAAATTAGTTTAATTAATTAACAATCAAATCAGAGTAGGATAATGAGAAACAAACCCAAATTTTAAAACACTTTCCCAGCACCCCTTCCTTCTTCCTGGGTTTAACTTTATTCCTGATTCTCTACCTGTCAGCCCCCAACACCAGGGAACAGGGATGAGGGTCATGATCAGTTCATCACCTGTTTTCTCTGACACTGTTTCCTCCTCTCCTGCTCCAGTAGAAACAGTCCGCCACAAAGACTGCACACTCACTGCCACAACGTGAATCCTTTCATGGGCTGTAGCTCCTCACGAACTGCCTCGCCACGGGTCCCTTCCACGGGGTACAGTCAGTCCTTCAGGAACGGGCTGCTCCAGTGCGGGTCCCACAGGGTCAGAGTCCCAGCGGCAAACCTGCTCCAGTGTGGGCTCATCTCTGCACAAGGCCACGCGTCCTGCCAGGAGCCAGCTCCAGTGCGGGCCTCCCACACAGCCACAGCCTCCAGGCCTCCATGTGCTCCTGCGGGGGTCTTCCGCAGGCTGCAGGTGGATCCCTGCTCCCCTGCTGATCTCCACAGGTTGCAGGGGCACAGCTGCCTCACCATGGTCTTCACCATGGGCTGCACAGGACTCTCAGCTTGGAATGCTCAGTGCCTGGAGCACCTCCTGCCCCTCCTTCTGCACTGACCTTGGCTCCTGTGGAGCTGTTCCTATCACATATTTTCATTCCTCTCTCTGGCTGAAATTTGCTTGGGCTCAATAACTTTACCCTCCTTAAAAATGTCATCCCAGAGGCGCTACCAGGGCCACTGATGGGCATGGCCTTGGCCGGTGGAGGGTCCATCCTGGAGCTGGCTGGCATTTTCTTTATCAGACACGGAGGAAGCTTCCAGCAGCTTCTCACAGAAATCACCCCTGTAGTCCCTCCACTACCAAAACCAGCCACACACACCCAGTACAGGCATCTCTTACTGCTAAAAGGGATTAGTTGCAGAGGGCGGAAGAATTATGTGGAGACAAACCTACAAGGTAAGCAGAATAGTAAGCAAAAAAAGAAGTAATGTTTGAGGCAAATAATTTATCTTTTGCACAAGATAAATGCCTCAGATTCACTTCAGCTGGTTTAATGAGTAGTCATATTATAGAAAGCCCAGCCTACAGATAAAGAGTCTTTTACAAGTAATGCCACTGATTAAAATAAACTCCAGGCATTGTAGTTAACAGCTGTATTAATCCCTTTCTGCATCACTGTTCCTAATATAAATCAAACATCATACAGAGATAGCTTAGACTAATTATTGCTAATAATCTGAGCTGTTTGCCTGACTCTACTTATAATATATTAGTGTTACAGTAAGAGGGAACTAATAACAAATCAGTTTAATTACACCATTCCATTTTAACCTTTTAAGAGACACATTTTGCTTTAAGATTTCAATTATGTTGTACTATGTTGTAGTATTGGAAAAAGAAAAATAATTATTGCAGTACAGAAAAAATAATTAAGTTAATTTCATAAGTAAAGGACTTACTTTAGAAAAAACTACTGCATTTGAGGGAAGTTTCCTTTGTGAATAATAGCGGGAGCTCATTTCTTTAAGTTCAGCACTACATTCTGTGAAGGAAAACTGCCTGTTTTCTTCTAATTGGAAAATTCTATACCTTAATTAGTTACTTAGTAAAACATGTTCAACACTTTAAAGTGCCTTGTAAGTAAAAATGAATCACGTACACATGCAATTGGAGGCTTCAAGCATGTAATAGACATAAGGTATGGTCATTTTTCTAGCACTCCTCTCTACTACCATCAAAAATATGTAATGATGCATAAAGACCCATCTGTCTCCTGCTTTCTTGCAAATAAGAAATAGAATGATGAAAAAACAGGAAGGCTTCAGAACCAAAACATGATGAATAAAGTGAATTCGTTTAGAAAGCAGCTTTTAGATTTAGAATTAGAATTATTCTTACTTTTCAATTCATGATGTTACTATTTTGCATGGTGTAAATTAAGATATTTTTCCATATGACTTCTTCGTTTTCTCAGTACTGTGGGAAAGCCCCTTTAGCTAGCAGTTTCTGGGTTATCCTGCCTACGTTTTTATCACAAAGGGATAACTATTCACTAGGCTGAGGAGTATATACTTGCATACTACTTTTCTGCCTGGAGGGTGCCTGATTCTGCTTCCTGTTTGGCTTGCTTCCAACTTTCTGTTTTACCTTCAGTCAATACTAAGACCAGATGCTGGAGAGTTTCTGTGGAATTGAAATAAAGTGAATATGTGCATCAACTTCCACATATTGCCTGATACACTCAAACTGCAATCACAGATTTGGACCAAGATGGAAAAAAAAAAAAAACAACCAAAACAAAACAACCCTTCAAAAATCTGTCTCGGAGGTTGTCTCCCTTTTTCTGAGAAAAAAAAAATAGGTTTATCCCTGTTCCGCTGTGGGCAGTCCATATTCAACCCAGTGGGTAGAAACTTTCCCTTGTACCTATAGAACAAAGGATATAAAAATCAGCTTGGGATATTATTCGTTTCCTCACTTAAACTTCAACAACAGAATAGAGAGTACTGCAAAGATGAGGTCAAGAACCATGAGTGTACTGAGTGTTGTCCAGGGCTTAAAGAGGGAAGCAGAAGCTCAGTATTGTGCCCTCAGGTCATCACTCTACATCTTATTGATGTGTCTTTACCAGAGTCCATCACATGTTCATGGATGCCTTTGACTCTGTTCCTTTTATTAGAGTTGATAGATGGAGCAAAGCAGATAATATAGAGGTGGTGAGATAAAAAGAATGAGGTGGGGCAATATGGAGAAAGTGTGGGAAACCACGAAGATTGGACACAAACTGGGGTTATAAGAAGGAAAAAGCAGAACAAAAAATATTATTTGTGAATACAAATGTGATGAGCTTCAAAAGGAGATGTAAGCTGCAGAGGAACATATTGACAATGTCATAGCCATCCCTTTTAAGATGAGGTGTTGTCTTTAATGTAAATGAAAAGAATGAAAATGCAGCAAGAACTAACTATGGAAAGCAAGGAAAGTCTAATAAATGCAATTTCTAGGCAGGGAATCAGGCAGAAAAGGGGTATGATGAAGAATTAGAATATGAAATGTGACAGATAAGAGAATTCAGACTTTTTTTCCAGCATGAATAGTTTAGAAATAGGAGCGGTTGCCTCTGTAACCCTGAATTTTCATGGCTTGGATTTTTCATACATTGTATCAGTCAGTTTTCTTCAGCAAGTAACTGCAGTTCTGTCCTTTAGCAGATACCTTTAGAAAAGGGTATTTATGTAGGCTAGTTCAAGGTTAGTTTATTTTACTCATCATAAGATTCCCCCAAATAATGTTGTATCTATTGCTTATGGACAGCTCATCATAATTATTCCTGATATATGGAGGGAGAAAAAAAAAGATACTCCTCTGATCTCAGGGCAGATGATTGTGTCTAGGAGGAATAACTCAGAAGAATTCATTATAGTACAAAATTACCTACATATTTCAGCTGAGATTAGTGTCCTCGTGAGCAACTTGTTATTTGCATAGTTGACCTGCAGGTTAGACCTGCTCAGACAGTAGCATGTTTGTGCACTTCACATTACCAAAACACTTTCTAGGTTTTACAGTTATTAGTCAGTGTTCACATACTCACTTACCTTTTTCCTCAAACCTGACTGATTCCATGTTTGTATCAATTTTTGCCTGGTTCACTCAATGTGGAGAGCCAATATTCCAAATTGCACGCAACAATTGTTAACTTCATGTGCACACAAACACACGGAGGTCTTAATGAACTTGTGAGACTGGAGCACAGCCCCTCTTATGGTGTTTGCATTAGTTAAACAGCATAAATATTCCTGAATTTATATGCAGTTAAAGCTTGCTAAGACACTTGTTATAATTTCTACTGACACCTTTGAGAGTTTTTAAGTCCAGACAGCCTGAAAGATCAGCATTTAGTCTGCTTTTTTTTTTTTTTTTTTTTTTCTGTGTATCTCACTAACAGCTGAAAATTTGCAAGGACATAAATGTATGGGCATAGGTCATTTGGTAAAGCACACAGGGATTAAACCTTGAAAATATTTCCAAGCTGCATGAAAACAAGACCAACAGAATTTTGGTAAGACATTTGCCTTAACTGGAAAGGCTTAAAATAAATGATCATATGATTAAAAAAAGCAAGGATTGCCTGCTATTTGTTGTAACCCCTATTTCTGTAGCGCCCCTGTAGCCAGAGAAGCAGCTGTTCATTGCTGACATTCTCCCTGCCAGGCATTCCAACTCTCTGAGGTAATGGGCTACAAGCATACGGGCCTTCGCTTTAATTCTTTCAGCGTATCCTTCCGCATGGATAGAGCGAGGGGAACGCCTCCAGGAAAAGAAATTAAATGCACACACACAGAGGCACACAGGGACGACCGATTTGAAAATATTTCTGAGAACGCAATTTGCGCTCATGCGGCACAGCGTCACATGAAAGAGGCCGCCTGAAGAGCTGGCTGGCACAGGTTTATTTTGTTGTAGTATTTTCTTCCACCCCCCAGCTCTTTACCCAGTGGAATGATATCCAGAGCAAGTTTTTTGAGACAGGAAGTGAGGGATGTTTTCACTATGAGCGATCTGAGAAGAAGGTGGGTTAGCCGAGATAGCAGCTGCTTCGGACAGGAGGAGCACAGTAAGTCCGTTCCCGAGGAATACAGATGAGATGGCTCCGGGAGGAGAAGCCTTGGAGCGCTGCGGGTTTTTTTCGGCTACACGTATGTGAAAGGAGACCCGGTGTCTTTGGATCGCTGTGCAAGGTAAGGGGGAAACAGCGGGCA